TCAAATTCAAATACTTTTATAAATAATTCATGTTATCTTCTTAATATTTAGTATATAGTTCGTTGTCACAATAACAATTATTAATTACAATTATTAATTATTTAATTATTTAATTATTACGGTCACATAAAAATTATTAGTGAAATTCAAGTAAAATATAAGAATCGAGCAATATAACCAAACCACTGAGTATGCTTTATGGGTAAAAAAAATCTATAAACAAAATTATTATTCAATGAAATGATAATTTTTTGGATTATCAATCACTTGGATTAAATTAGTATTGGGTTAATTAAACTTAAGTTAAGAACGATTTAGTGAATCATGTTGTCACTTTATGTTCACCACTCAAAATAGCTCGTGAAGTTGTTAATAAAGGCCTCAGAAAATATCTAAATGGCATTTCTTTCTTCGCTTGTGTGTTTGGGTGTCATTATATACATAAAAACAGATTCATTGCTGTTCGTATATAGATCAAATTTTATATTTCCTCTTCCCAGAACTTCATCTTTGTGGGATGTCATCTTTCAAAAATATTAAAACTAACCGATGTTAACTCCCCCGTCTGTGCATCAACAATATGTGAGGAAGTAGAATTGTCCTTGTGAACAGAGGAGCCTACATTTTTGGCATATTGCATTATCAAATTCAACACACACAGCCCTAAACAGGAAACTAAAGTTTTGTATAAGTAATCCAAGGGTATGGAATTTCGCGTTTATAATAGTATAAAAATATGATAAAAATTTTCATTTAATTCTGTCTGTACTATATTTTATGGCATTTACTCTAGTCGTGTGTGTATAAGCACGCCACGTACTTGTGTGTTTGCTTGTTGTGCCTAAGTTATTTCTCTTCATCATAAACAATAAAATGCTTTAAGTGAACATGAGCTTTGTGCAGCCATTTTTCTTGGACTTAAGCCAAGTCGTGTAGAAACGGAAACAATAAATATTATTAAAAAATAAAACACAACAAACTAGAAAAATGTGCAGAAGCATTCACATCCAGCCAAAAAGGAGCATTAAAAGTGCTCCATGCAAGCACAAAATTTCACATGTTGAGTTGTGGTCAAGTGGCAACTGTAAAACAACAACCCAAAACTGCAAAGATTGGTTAAAAATAAATGGAAAATATTCTAAACCATAAACTTGAGTGGCATATTTACTTTGAAGGATATCAGCAATTTGTTGCAGTCATTTTTAATAAGGCATATTTAGTTAATTGAAAGGATGTTGGCAGGGACTTTAGTACCTGAATTGAGCACAGCAAATTTAATTAAACTTCGTTGGTAAGTTGTTGACTTAAGGGCCCGCTAATCTGCATATTAAGTGCTTAAGTTTCCCTTTAGAATGTAAATTTGTGAAGTATTGAGTATTTATACGCATTGGGTTGTTGAAAAATGTGGCAAAAATGAACTCAAACACTGTAAAAAATGTTTTGGTGCTAGTAACCGAAACCATTAAAAAGTTGTGCTGTCATTCTCTTAAATTTTTTTATTTTCCTCCAGCATAAAAGCAATTTTAAGTCGTTTTTTTATGTCGGCAGCTTAATTTTTTCCACTCATAATGTAATACCACAGCGTACGACTTCTGTTTGGCAAGATAAAATAAATACAAAGAAAAAGTAAGTAAATAAATAAATAAAAATGGCAGTAATTTTGCTGCTCTTAATTTTTTTTATTTCTTCTTTTGTGGTTATTATTGCCATGGCGAGACAAAACAAAATAATAAAAAGCAAAATAAAGTATACGAAATAAAAATACAAGTTGGGTCCTCAAAGCCCAAGCAAAATATTGACCTGACTTCGTTCTACATGTGGTATGAGCAACGCCACCGACTTTAAATACTTCATTAGTTCGAAAAGTTTTAAATATTTAAAAGCATTTTTGAGAATATTCTAAAGTACATTTGTTATACGATTAAGGAATTTTCAAGCAATCATTTGAGGTGTTGTAAACAATTTATTATAGAACATACATCACAAATAAGATTGCGGGAAAATACAAGAAAATTCGAAAGTGTATGCTAAGTAATAAGCTGAATACTTAAAAGGAATGAAAATGAAACGAATGATAATAATAATATAAACTTGAATTAGAGGTTCGTAGTGGATAGTTCACATATTCGCTAAAAATCTTCATAGAAATAGATGTGAAAATTAAACTTCTCATTGTTTAAAATATTATATACACAGAAATATTGAATATAGAAAATTCAGTGAAATATTCTATGTTTCTTTCTAGACTATTTTTTTTGTTCATACATGTAGATTTAAAATATTTAAGATATACATTTATAATGCTTTATAATTTTAGAGTTAAACAGAAAAGAATAGAATAAAATAGGTGTGGTACTGGGAACCAGCGTGGTGAAGTATTGCATCCGTAGCTAATTGACGTTAATGATATTAAATGGCCCTAATTACGCAGATGATAGGTTAACCCAAGGGCTAAAACCATCTAGAACTTTTGACAAAACTTATAATGCTATTTAGAGCGAGATATCGAAGTTCACCAAGATCCTTAACAAAGAAGGCCCCCAAAAATTTAAAGTGACGCCGCAGATGATATTCCGCTTTTTTAACCAAGGTCTAGATGTGAATTGTTAAAGATATCCCAATATCAGATGGGGGTATAAATTTCCCTGACTACTAATCTTCTTTTGGTCGCAATCAAGTACAATTAGTCGCGATTATGCCCAAAATGTCAGTTATTTAGGACATCCTGATATAGAATAGGGATAGAAATTCTCAACCTAATAATCTTATCCCGTCCTAATTCCAACCTAACGACTTACAAAGAATGTGACTCTAATTGTATAGAAGACACTTCGCTGCTTGAATGAATACCAAGACATTGACTGTTGAGAACATTTTAACATGGGACGGATATAGAAATTGTAGGCTTAGTAATTTTCTCCTGGCCAAAGTCAAGCCTAGACAGTATTCAAAAATGTGACAAAAGGTCCGCCTCTGAGGAGAGTTGAAATTTCGCCTTTTCAAAAAAACTATTTTTGCCAAAATGGTGACGTACTTGGTGATGATCCATCAAACAAGCTACAAAAAATTGCAGTTTATTATATTCATAAATAATATTATAGTTATTGGAACTGACTAGCTTATTATATTCCAATTAGAAAGAGTGTCACCCTTGTAGCGACTTTTTTCGGTTATTAACCATTTTCCTGTCAGAAACCAATTTATGCTATGATCAATTTCAGAACGGAATAATTGAATGACTGGTTCGGTATTCTATATATGCTTTAATGCAGCTTTATTTTTTGGTCTTATATATAACAATACTTATGCTTAATATATACGTAACAAAATATGTTGTTTCATTACATTAAATTATAAATAAGGAGCAAATATTATTTTAAAAATACCTTTGAATTTACATATCTTATGGTTTACAAAAATTTGAATATTGAGGTAATTTAAAATTGTAATCGGATATTTTGCATGAAATTTAATTTTGACCAACTATAGTCCTTAAATTGATCATGCATCAATATGATCTGTATATATAATCGTCACTTGATCTATAACAGATTATTTGACAAATTTTTGTTGGCATTTTTTTTAATAGATATATGAAAAAACTCCGTATCTTAGTTCTTGCTAAAAATATTCAATTTTATCTGATAACGAATTTCTTGCTTCTTAGTGCAAAAATCTGCTTTTGTATTTGTATAGCTTCAAAATAATTTTATGAAATATTGTCTTTAAAGATATTTTGATTCGTAGTTAAAAAGTAATCAATTTTAAATGGAAGCGACATACAGCAGGATGGTTTTAACATTCGCTGTCTAATTTCTTAAATTTCAAAAGCAGTTTTAAGTGGAATGATTCAGATGAAAAATTTTTGTATTGCATCAGCACATAGACATTTTCTGAACTCAAAATTTTCGCATCTCTCGCATTATTCTTTTGTGGTATTTGTGGGTAACTTCACACTTAAAAAATAAATTTGAAATTCATTAAAAAATATTTAAGGATTTCGTTGGATTAAGTCAAGTAATTTTGCTTTTCTAAATAAACTAAGTTTTTCGTATATATAAAAGGAATAACTTTCGACAAAACAAAATTGCCTTGACCTATTTCCAATGAAGCTGAGTACATAAAATAAGAACATTGAATAAATAAAACTTCGATAATATGTACAATTTTATATTGGCATGTAATAGAGCGCGGATATTGAATAATACATACCATGAGCTCGTGTGCGTATGAGTGATTTTTTATGAACTCTGAATTTTTATTGACTTCACTGTTTTCGTTATAGATTGTATTGTTTTGTTATTCTGCAGAGATATTAAAAGAAAATAGCCACAAAACATTTAGAGCTTTATTATTAGACAATATGAAGAATATTATGTACTCTTCATAAAATTTTAGTTATTTTGCTTGAGATAAATTTCATTAACCTTTGAGCAGGAGCTGCGTTTAAAGATAAATTTAACAAAATTTGTATTTTTAATAAATTGTAATTTGAAATGATAATCTTGCAATTTTTATATCTCATATTTTTTGGACAAAATTGTTATTCACTAATTTCAAACTAATTCCAATAAACCGACGTCAAAGCACAACAAACAAATATGTTATTTTTAATTTTAATTAAAATTTAATTAAAAGCAAATTTTTAATCTCAAAAATATTTCAGTCTAAAATGACAAAACACAATATTGTACACAGTATATGAGGTTCAAATTAATTTTGTTATTTAAAAAGTGATTAGACTAATAAATATGTACAGGCCTACAGGAAATATTTTCCAGTTCACACGTATTCGTACGTACACCGACGCACTAAATTAGCACAAGCATTTTAAACACATCCGAAGCAAATTTCTGCATAAAAAGCAGGCTTAGCATATAAGTTTTTAATTGCTTAATACGTGGCATGCACAGCGCCCCGTATATGTCCATGACTTCCTTAGATACCTACAGATACTCGCGTATGTTAATATAGATATTCATTCAAATAAGTTTACTCACACTTGCATAAGGTCCTTTGGCGCTGTTATGCCCAAACACATACATGTAATTTCGACGATTTACATCGGCGTGAAATAAACCTGTCTGCATTAATGGTCCCACGACACGCGCATCCGAGAGTATATCGAGCACCACATCACGATGTTCTAAATTGGTGGCTTTAATAGGATTGTTGTACATGTCGTTGTATCTGAAATTATAGACCAGGAAAATATGCATCATTATAAGAGTAGGCGGGTATAGGCGGTTTATGTGAGTAGAGATTTCTGTAAAATAATTTGATGTGCAAATAATAAACATTAAAGTGAAATAAAAACGAAAACAAAACAAAAGCAAAAATACTTACATTATGACTAAACAAACAAATTTTAACGAGGTTGACAACATAAGTCTTCCCTCGTATACGGTGTGAAGAAATTATTTGAACAAATATATATGCAAAATATATCAAAAATAATTGTCTTAGTTTAATTTAATTTTAATGTAAATAAGAAAATTTACAATATAAATTTTTTATGCATATTTTTATATCTTACAAAAATGTTTTTTGAAATTATAATAAATGTTAAGATGTTGGAAAATAACCAACGAAACGTCGGGTGAAAAATGAAATAAATTGAGTTTTATTTGCATCCTAATAATAAGACCAGAGTAGCCTAAAGAAAAAATTTTAACTAAAACAATAAAACGTACTGGTCAAAAACCCCATTATTAATAAAACAAATTTGGAAGGCTTACCAAACAAACCAAATAAATATTTTAATATTTAATAATTAAGATTTAAACAATGAAGAACTTTTTCAACCACATTAAGTTCAAATACGATATTGACACATGCACAGATATGAAAGCATATTGCAGGAAAAAGAAACAATTAGTAAAACAAATAGAACATCTTAAATTTCTTCTAACTTGTAAAGATTATGGCATTATACCACAATTTTTGTCGAATATGACCAAAAAAATATCAACTAATTTTAAACTGAATTCACACAAAAATACTTTCCACAATATAGAATTCAACTTCCTATACAAATTATTAAAACTCGAAATAACACAAAAAAATAGTAACATCAAAACTATACGAAAAACCATAAACCAATTAGAATTACATTTAAAACACACTCTTAACGTTGATGAATACAAAACGTTCATGCACAGACAAAAAATAACATCAGATCACCTTTTTCATCAATCAAAAACTACATTAGATAATAAAATCCATAAACTTAAAGACAACATGTTTTTGTCCTTTGGTTTCACATTGAATGAAGATTGGTTTATTAACTATACCGATGTAATTTTTCCTAAAGAAAGCCGTTGGTTATTATCTTTGGGAAAAAAATTTGCTCTACCGGTGAATAAAAATAATTTCTCAAAACTACATTTCATAGCAGACGTAGAACAAGGCATTCAAAACATGAAAAATGAAAAATTGAAGGAACTCACTAGAACCAAAACAGCTCATAATTTAATAAATTTTAATCATCAACATAAAAACAACAATAGAGAAAAATTCATTCTAAAAGCATATGATAACACTCAAAAAATAGTGAACAAACACAAAAATGATATTGTCATTATGGAATCGGATAAAGGTCAAAAAACAGTAGTGATGTACAAACGTGATTATTTGCATAAAATGACATCATTACTAGATGACAGAAACACGTATAAAACATTACGCACAGATCCAACTAATAAATTGATAACTACTAATAACAACATTATAACAGATCTTTACAAACAGAAACTAATAACAATACAGCAAAAAAAACAACTGCTATGTAGTACAGCTAACGCTCCTAGACTATATGGATTACCCAAAATTCATAAGTCTAATGTACCCCTCAGACCAATAGCGGACTCCACAATGGTTTCTTGTTATAAACTGTCAAAATATGTTGGAAAAGAAATTCTAAAACCACTTATATCGTCAAATTACAATATAAAAAATTCCAGTGAATTACTTGAGAAATTAAAACACATTAAATTGGAAGACAACGAAATATTAATTTCATTTGACGTAATTTCATTGTTTACAAATATACCTACAAACCTGGCTACAAAAATCATCTTAGAAAAATGGGATATTATTAAGAATACAACTAACATCTCCAAGGCCAAATTTTCGAGAATTCTTGACTTTTGTCTTAAAGACAATAATTACCTCATTTTTGACGATCAGATATACCAACAGGTGTTTGGTATGCCTATGGGAAATCCATTATCTCCTACTATCGCGGATATAGTACTTGATTAGCTACTTGACGAAGCCATAGCTGAACTCAAGACTATGGGCATAACTTTTAAATTTATTACCAAATATGTTGATGACATATTTGCGGTTATCAAAAAATCTGACAAGGAAATTATTCTGACAACATTAAATAATTTTCACCCAAAAATCAAGTTTACATATGAAGAGGAACTGGACCATAAACTTCCATATCTCGACATTGAAATTATTAAACGAGATAATAATTTAATCTTCAATTGGTACAGTAAAGACATATCTTCAGGACGACTTATCAATTTTCACTCTTCACAACCTATGAGCCAAAAACTAGGTACTGTGAAGAATTTCATCAAAAAGGTATTAGATAGTAGTGACCAAATGTTTAAACAACAAAATATTGACAAAATTTACAAGACTCTATTGAATAATAATTATCCATACAGACTAATTAACAATTTAAGCAAACAACAGAACATAAGTTACAATAAAAATATTCAAAATAGCAATAACCAAATTCCAAAACAATATTTTTCGTTACCCTATGTACCGAAACTATCTAATAATAGAAATTTGACCACAAATCTTAAACAAGACAACATTTTTTGTGCTTATAAACCCAATCAAACTATCCATAAAATTTTCTCTAACAACAAAAACAAAATTAATAAGCTGCAACAAAATAATGTGGTATATCAAATAAATTGCAACGGAAATAAAGAAGGGAGTTGCAAAGAGATTTATATTGGTACAACAAAGAGATCACTCAACACTAGAATAGCTGAGCATATGTCGGACATCAACAAGAACAAAAACAATACAGCTCTATCTCAGCATTGCACCGAGAGACAACATAAACCGGATTTCGACAATGTAGTAATATTGGACAAAGAGAAATCTTGGAAAAAACGGTACACTCTCGAAAGCTTAAGAATTCAAGAGAAAATTAACTTAACTATGAACATCAAAGAAGATACGGAGAATATAAGCTCTAATTACATTGCTGCTCTAATATAAACAAAATCGAAAGTGGCGGTAATTTGAAGCAGTTGACTATAATTCTATAATTTTATAAAACTTTTAATATTTATTCCTAACTTTTAATTTTTTATTTACAAAAAGTGATTTAACTTAATTTCAATTCTAACTATTGGTAATTACTATTATTTAACAATTCTAAAATCCTGAATGGATAATTATTACTTTTGATTGTTTTGTTATTATTGTTGTTGTTAGTTATTTTGTGTACATGTTTCTCTGTTTATACAATATCACAAATTATATTATAGATATATTTTCACATTGTGTTTTGAAATCATAATTATTAAATAAAAAAAATATTTTAGATACCCCTGAAGATATTGGAAAATAACCAACGAAACGTCGGGTGAAAAATGAAATAAATTGAGTTTTATTTGCATCCTAATAATAAGACCAGAGTAGCCTAAAGAAAAAATTTTAACTAAAACAATAAAACGTACTGGTCAAAAACCCCATTATTAAGTTAAGATTTATATTGAATTTAGTGGTTTATCTTTTATAATCTCACAACGCCCGACTGCTGCTAGATACTGGTAGAGTTGTAGATAACATTAAATGAGAAAATGTGCAACATAATGTCTCAGTAAGGTGATTTTATATAATATCATGATTTAAGTTCAGAATTTCATACCAAATGTTGAGCTTGGAGTAATATTAAAAATTGAATATTGAACAAAGTTGATGTAATTATTGTTGGTATAAATTGTTCTACGTTTTTGAGATATAGAAGTTTATAGATACTTTGTGACCATAAAAAAGTGTATGCTAAGATATAGGTTTTTAGAATTATGGATAGTACGCCAGCAAGACGTACTATTCTTATATGTTGTGTTAGAATTTAAAACAAATATCAGTCAGTTTTTTAAAAAAGAAAACAGTTATTGTAATTTATATCATTTTCAGCTCTGAAGAATAATAATTAGCAGCAGTAAGGTAAAAGCAGTTGGATAAGTAGAAAGGTGATGTCAATTTCTGTACTACTATTAACTTGAAAAGTGCTTGTGCAATGTAACCCAGAAAATTACGTCTTTATTTTTAAAAGAAGTATTTCTTAAGGTCCAGATTTCTCTATAAGTTGTAGTATCAAACTATTTTACCGCACCTACCTAGTTACTTTTTCCTTACTCATTATACTCATTAGTGCCAGACAAAATCATAACACGTGCTCTTAGGGCTAATATTGTTTTTAACAAAGTTAAGAATTTTCAATTGCTTTTTAGAGAAGTAAGCAGTACTACTTTATATTTATATAATGTACAAGAGCACAAGCTTTACATTTTTTTACTTTAATTGTTACCATTCTATAATATATATAAATTTTAAAGTATTCGTAATAATGCTACCTAACAACAACAAAAATTAAATAAGAGGGAAAGATGAACACATAAACAATTTCATGAACATAGTAGCAAAAATAGCTGCTAAAACGATGAAAAGTGCTATATACTAGCACCTCAAAATTATTATGACACGAGGAGCAGCTCTAAAAGAGAACAGATGTGGAATTATGATATTACAATTTTAAATTCAGTCTTTAAATTTCATTAAGCAGCCTTAATTCTGAAACGTTGTCTTTGTATGTTTAGCAAATAAAATTTTTTGTCAATATTTATATCATTTAATTAATACCTCAACTACATTTTTCTAAGCTTAAATTGGTCATATCGTATATCTGCTTATTTACCATTTACACACACATTTATAGCCAATTTTGTTGTTTTAGTACTGATAATGACTTTACTTGTCGAAAGTTATTGCAAATGGCTAATGTATGAATAAATAAGTTGAAGGACATCGTCAGAAATGTACAGAAGATGTTGAAATATCGAGTAAACCAAGGGAGACATTGACAGAAATTTATTCAAATAGAGGATAATTGTAGTCATTTGTATTCAGCTATGACGAACACAAAT